TGTTATTTATGAAGAAAAATGTTTAAAATTATTGAGTTCAAGAAGTCACGAATGTAGAAAATAAGGTATTATTATCTAATAAACTAATTTTTATCTACATAATAGCTAAATCTTGAAATTTCTTTTAGAAAATTACTCATACTTCGACTATAAATACGCATAACACTTCTACAATTGTACACTTCTTACTGCAAGGTGTACGTATTCCAGCTATACAATGAAGGCTGCATGCTTTATTGTCTTTACTTTCTGTAAGTTAATGCAATGAAATAATTTAGTATATTAAATTACGTAATTCTCTACCTCTATGTCTGATTTAAATCGCTTAATATGTCGAAAACTTTTATAAAAATCCCAACAAAACAATATACGATAAGAAATATTTAGGAATATAGATTGATCTTTCATGGTTTAACGTTGATCGTTGATGATACAATCAAGATTTTTAATTCATTACTTTAATTGGTTACCAAAAACCGTAATCTTACAGCCAAAAACAAATACAACTATTAATTATAATTAATTGAAAAGAATTAACTGGTTAATTTATTGTATGACTAAAGCAATTTTTCTCAACTTTGTAATGTATTCCTTAAATAACTAAATGTTCGGGTGTCCAAATTTCTTTAGAAAAAAACATAGTTTTAAATTTTAAATTACATTGCGTGATTAAAGTCTTTAAAACTTAAATAATTTCCTTAGTAATTCAACTGTCAAAACAAGACTCGTGTCATTGGAGAGAATTAGAAGCATGCGCCATTAGAAGATCTCAGATTTTTCAAAGTCATCCCATTCCACAAAACGAAGAAGAAATCCAAACACGATGCGAGTAGGTATTTTCTACAAAAAGAAGATACGAAAATTTATCTAGATGTAGCGACACAATACAATTGCTTTTGAAATTAACATAGAATCAGAGTGTGACACTAAACCGAACAATTTCACATAAACTAAAAATGAGTTAAATTCATGAAATCTACAATGAAATTTGATATTTGAAACTTTAAATGCCAGATAATTTTCTAATAATAATATCATTCGCAATGTTAATTTCTGTATTTAATAACTAAGAGGAATTATTAACAAAATATATATTCACGTATTGGGGCTTCTCGAGGATAGCATTATTTCAAGTTTAACTATATATCACATTATAATATTTCAGGTACCTAAAGGAAACTGCAGCTTGTTTCAATAAATACACAGACAGATGTGCAACTCCTCTGTACAAGCAATTAATTTCTTTTGTCAATTCTGAACCTCAAGGAAATTTCGATCAATTCTGCACACCAGTAAACGAATTGAGAACGAGTAAAAATATATTTATTATTGCTGGATTTAGTTGCATTGTTGCAATATTTTATTTACTTATTTTCATTTTACAGCATTACTAAAACACGCGGCATGCCTTTCTAAAGTATGGAAAAATCAACAATAGTGTGCAAATGACGCTCTCGCTGCTATATCGAAACTACCTTCGACTCCTTCAAGTGATAGAGTAAATCTGGCTTGCTGGTACGTTCGAATTACCCAATACACACCGCTAAATATTAGTTAAATAGCGAGTAACAATTGTTTCTTTATAGTTCTTATCGTCGATTCCGAAAGTGTGGAGCCGATTTAATAGAGAAAGAATGTGGAGCCGAAGCGAAAGAATTTGTGGGAAAAATTATAGCATTTTCTGTGTCAAACTTACCTGACGTCGTGTGCCAAATTTTCAAACCGGAAGATGCCACGTGCAAGGCATTGTTACCTGAAGTTGGAACTGCTGTCGGTGGAAGTAATGATTCTCCGTTAAATCGTTTCGTCAAAATATTTACAAGTTCGTTATAAGTAATGAATGACAATTGAAAATCAATTGTGGCAATTCAATATACGTATAACATTAAGAAGTGTAAATGTTTTTTATAGTAAAGTGTAAATTCTTTGATAGAAAAGTGTATGAATATATTAGTACATGGAGAAAAATAAATAAATACTAAAGTTTATGAAATTGAAACAGTTTTGATGTATGAAAATTTACTGTAGGGGGTGAGACCGATCATTTTATCGTTCGATATATATCCCCGTTTCTTCATTATAAACACATTACTTTAACTACTTAAAAGATCAATTTTTCCGAAAGAAATACATTTTTACTTAAATAAGTGAATAACCCATCAAGTTCACAGTAATAGATAAAACATTTCCAATATTTTACCAGTAAAGGAATCAAAAATGGCACGACACACAGACATGAAAGAAGTGATAGCTACCATAGTGTTGATTCCTGAAGGTTTCTACTTGAAATTAAGCTTTCTAAAAAGATAATAAAATCAGTTTTCTATAACTTTACACAAGCGCTATAATATAAATCTTTTAAATTAAAGATTTACTAATGTGAGGTAGATAAAAAAAATTTATCACACCAGTGATAATAAGCACAAACACTCAGATAACAATGGAGTACATTTAATAAAAACGAGAAGGGGTGTACATTAAAATCGATTACATTTGCAATTAACATGAAATAACCAAAATGCATTTCGGACGATATAAAGGTTCTAACAATCTTCGCTTCATTTTATTTGACCTCTGATCCATACTTACCAGTATCGTGCTGTTGAGTCTTTTATTAACATTCTCAACGTTCTTAAAAACAGCACATAACCCCAATCCACATATGCCTAGAATTTTCGCATTCGCGAAAACACAAAGAAGACAAAGAAGTCAGGCATATGGTAGAGAAGTGTAACGCACCAACGTATACACTGGAGAAACGTTTAAGGGAATACATAAATGAAAAATTGGAAAGTAATAGTTTAGTGACCCACGATCCAAGTAAACTAATAAAATAAATATAAAACTTAAATTCAATGAACGATGAAATTGGAACTGTGATGGACTTTGAAAATCTGTACCCCTCCGTAAATCTAACATCGTGCTTCAACGAATTAATTAAATTCTTGATACAACAAAATCAAGAAGAGGAAAAATTCATGGAAAACCAACAAGTTTTGGCATAACTGATTTGTTTTCATTCCTTTACAAGCAAAAGAAAGGAGTCCCCATGGGAAGTACTACGTCAGGAATCCTATGTGAACAAGTAATAAGGAAATTGGAAAAGAACATCCTCAAAAGTTTCTTTGATAGCATTGTAATATACAAACGCTACGTTGATGATGTAGGCCTATTAATAATTTGGAAGGATGACTAACGCATTAATGATTTTTCTTAAAGACAATCAAAGGCAATCAGCATGGGTTGAAGCTAAAGATAGAAAAAAAAGCCGAAAAAACTTCCATTTCTTAAATATTAACATGAAATTTAAACTAGGAAATATACAAACAAATGTATATTAGAAACCAACAGACGATCCTCCAACACATACCTTCATGGTCGAAGGACCTGTACAAATATAAACTATCTGCGTTTAATGCACTGATCAAAAGGGCAACACGTTTTGATATTATTATTAGCAAGTTATTTACTCTTGTATATACATAAATTGTTAAAAGTTCAAATTCAAATGAAATTCGAACAAATGGTTCTATTAGAACGACGAATGTAAAAACCTGAAGATGGCCTATCCAAATAGGCTGAAGACGTTCGGAATAAAGAAAAAAAAAACTCGGCAAATATAAATCAGGTGTGTTTATTAGTATAAGTAAGGGTTACTGTGATAAATAGTATTGAATTTAGCGGAATAATAAAGTAATTGTTTCACAAAATAAATTATATATAATTGTTTTTAAATGATACAGACATATCGAAACTTCCTTCGACTCCTTCAAGTGATAGAGTAAATCTGGCTTGCTGGTACGTTCGAATTACCCAATACACACCGCTAAATATTAGTTAAATAGCGAGTAACAATTGTTTCTTTATAGTTCTTATCGTCGATTCCGAAAGTGTGGAGCCGATTTAATAGAGAAAGAATGTGGAGCCGAAGCGAAAGAATTTGTGGGAAAAATTATAGCATTTTCTGTGTCAAACTTACCTGACGTCGTGTGCCAAATTTTCAAACCGGAAGATGCCACGTGCAAGGCATTGTTACCTGAAGTTGGAACTGCTGTCGGTGGAAGTAATGATTCTCCGTTAAATCGTTTCGTCAAAATATTTACAAGTTCGTTATAAGTAATGAATGACAATTGAAAATCAATTGTGGCAATTCAATATACGTATAACATTAAGAAGTGTAAATGTTTTTTATAGTAAAGTGTAAATTCTTTGATAGAAAAGTGTATGAATATATTAGTACATGGAGAAAAATAAATAAATACTAAAGTTTATGAAATTGAAACAGTTTTGATGTATGAAAATTTACTGTAGGGGGTGAGACCGATCATTTTATCGTTCGATATATATCCCCGTTTCTTCATTATAAACACATTACTTTAACTACTTAAAAGATCAATTTTTCCGAAAGAAATACATTTTTACTTAAATAAGTGAATAACCCATCAAGTTCACAGTAAGAGCTGAAACATTTTTAATATTTTACCTGTAAAGGAATTAAAAATGGCACGACACACAGACATGAAAGAAGTGATAGCTACCATAGTGTTGATTCCTGAAGGTTTCTACTTGAAATTAAGCTTTCTAAAAAGATAATAAAATCAGTTTTCTATAACTTTACACAAGCGCTATAATATAAATCTTTTAAATTAAAGATTTACTAATGTGAGGTAGATAAAAAAAATTTATCACACCAGTGATAATAAGCACAAACACTCAGATAACAATGGAGTACATTTAATAAAAACGAGAAGGGGTGTACATTAAAATCGATTACATTTGCAATTAACATGAAATAACCAAAATGCATTTCGGACGATATAAAGGTTCTAACAATCTTCGCTTCATTTTATTTGACCTCTGATCCATACTTACCAGTATCGTGCTGTTGAGTCTTTTATTAACATTCTCAACGTTCTTAAAAACAGCACATAACCCCAATCCACATATGCCTAGAATTTTCGCATTCGCGAAAACACAAAGAAGACAAAGAAGTCAGGCATATGGTAGAGAAGTGTAACGCACCAACGTATACACTGGAGAAACGTTTAAGGGAATACATAAATGAAAAATTGGAAAGTAATAGTTTANACATTCAAATTTAATTTACACGCTTCGAAAATAATAGGAATTTCGTTGAATTGAGATTACAGTAATTAATTACACTTAAATATTTTGTATAATTTTCATTATTTAGTATTACAACTTTCGAAACAAGACTCGTGTCATTGGAGAGAATTAGAAGCATGCGCCATTAGAAGATCGCAGATTTTTCAGAGTGATCCAATTCCACAAAACGAAGCAGAAATCGATAGTCGATGCCAGTAAGATGTTGCAGCAATGCTTTTCCAAATCCTATTTTTATATAAATTATAGTTTATTTGTAATGCAAAACAATCATTTTCTGATATTTTAGATACCTGAAAGAAGCAGTTGCTTGTGCCACTAATTACACTGATAGATGCGCAACCCCTTTGTACAGGCAATTAATTTCATTTATTAACTCGGAATCGGAAGAGAATTTGAATCTATTCTGCACACCAGGAAATGAAATGAGAACAAGTAAATATTAATAAATAGTTTTTTCGATATAAAATTAATATTCTTTGTTTATTGCAATTGTTTTTATGCTTAATTATCATTCATATTTTAGCATTACTGAAACATTCCGAATGCCTTTCTAAAGTGTGGAAGGATCAGCAATCTTGCGCGAATGACGCATTCGCTGCTATAACGAAACTTCCTTCGACTTCTTCAAGTGATAGAGTAAATCTGGCTTGTTGGTACGTGCGAATTACTCAGTATAAAGTATTAATTATTATTTAAATAGTAAGTAATAACTTTTTTTCGTCTGTAGCTCTTATCGTCGATTCAGAAGTTGTGGAGCCGATTTAATACAGAAAGAATGTGGTGCCAAAGCAAAAGAATTTGTGGGAAAATTTATAGCATTTTCTGTGTCAAACTTACCTGATATTGTGTGCCAAAATTTCAAACCGGAAGATGCCATCTGCAAAGCATTACTACCTGAAGCAGGTACTGTTTCCAGTGGAAATAACGATTCTCCATTTAATCGTTTCATTGAAATATTCACAAGTTCATCGTAAATAATGAATGTTTCAGTTAAATTGTGATCGTAACTTTTAAATACAAAGTTATTAATAATAAAACAATAAGAAAGTATTTTCTTTTATACGTGTTGTATATACGATGAAACTCATTGTTCGCAGGGATAAATGCAATGATACCGTAGAATAAAGCTTATTTACATAAATGTGTTTTTTTTTCTATTATTGTGCACGTTATCGGATGATTGAGCTATTGTAAATTTCTAATATATTTTTCTTAAGTAGTTTTTATTTATCTAAATTAACTTTTATCTGTGAATATTTTATAATTTATATACAGTCGACCCCCTATAACAGTGTTAATTATTCCGTTTTATATGAATTCCGTGTTGTACGAGTCACTTAGATTTTACAAATACGTGAGCCGTTCACAGCCCGGCACACATATTTGTAAAATCTAAGTGACTCGTACAACATGGAATTCATATAAAACGGATTAATCAACAGTGTTATAGGGAGTCGACTGTACAGTAAAAAGGAAGGTCCAGCTGCCTATAATTCGTTCTAGAACACTAAGTAAAAATGTTGATCGTCTGAAATATATTTTTAGAGCGACTTTGTCTTTAATTTGTGGAAAAATTATATTTAAATAATATTTTTTATTATCACCCACATAAGAATTCGCTTTTAGAATTATCGAACCTCTGTATTACGTGTGCGACCAATTGGAAACTGGCTCGTGCAAAATAAAAAGATCAATAATAAAATTTAAATTGCCAGTTTTCATGTAAAGTTTTCGAAGTATATTACAGAAAATTATGTCCGTGTTTATAAAATATAAGCTTATAAAAATGAAATACTTAATGATGCTAATTTTCATGGAAAATATCACACTCATCTCTGGCGTAAAGAGTAAGTAGTTTAATTTAACTTTTGTGAATAAAAATAATTAAAAATTCATAATACTAGTTGTAAGCATGATCTATTGTATCTGCTAACTTACTTTTTCTTAAAAGCTCTTTTTGTTCTGACGCACTAAAATAACTTTCTAATCATAAACAATGATTTCCACCAGTGGGCAAGTACCACTGATATAAAACCACTGAACACTTTGTCATGAGTTCGTAACTTGTCAATGGGCTAAAAACCACTGAACACTTGTCATGAGTTCGTAACTTGTCAATGGGCTAAAACTAATGCATAAATAGGAGCCAGTTTTTCAAAAAATCATCTCGCGATAGCTAACATGTGTCACGTTGCAGTATACAAATAAACTAAACCATACCAAGCTTTACCGGCCAATCTGATAGTGGTACCACATTATGGAATTAACTAGTAAGTAAGGTTAGACAAATCAGAGTCACACGGCCTATTTTATGTTGAATGCATTAAATTTTTACGGTATACTTTTATCGTTATATGAATCAGCAACGAGCGACACTGCAGATATATAAATTACTAAAATTTTATTTATCATACTTCATTCGCAAGGGAGTAAACTGTAAATGGATGCAAATGATTTAGATTTAGAGCTTTCGAATAACAATGATGTCCTAATGCATAACACCCATAAATAATTATGGAAGTTAGGTCGGATACTAATCAAGATCATTCACTGTAATAAAATGATGTTTAGAATGCCGTTGTTTAACTTACAGAACATTTTAATTAACATAAACAATATGTTTTAAAATTGCAACATTAGAAAGTGTGGTATGAAGACCATCCAGATTAGGAATTTCTTGTTCATTTTGGTATTGTGCCGTTCTTTCACAATACATCGAAACACAAAATGCCAATTATACTGTAGCAGAGGGCCTAGTTTGCAGTGTGATACGAAAAATGAGTGTTACTGACATCCAGAGAGATTTTGGCGAATTTATGTGCACCATCATACATAGGAAAATTGTGAAATTCAACACTATTTTAAGCGATTGCAAGTATTCTGGCAGCGCTGATACCCCTTTGCCATTGATAAACTGTGCATTGTGTTTTGTAACGGCCATATTAAGTTTCTTTTAAGCATAAATTCCAAACTCCAATAAAACGTAACATTTTGTAACTTCTAATTGTAATACTTTATTTTCTTTGCTTATTTCATTTTACTATGCAAATGCATCAAACTGTTCAAATATAAAGGACAAGTTATAAATTTCTTCTTTTCTAAAATTAAAATTTAATTCTAACTTTTGAACATAAACTTAGGCACAATTGAACAAATAATAATACTTTGAAGCTTTTTTTTTTAATTTTAAAATTTAGTATTTACAAGTTTTAAATTAACTTTCTGCACTTTATTCAAAGAACACGAATATTTTCTGTATATAATTACAATGTTTTCGACTAATCTATATTAAATTGAAGAATGTATAAAAGCTTTCAATGACTATTAATTTTTACTTCTATTATCATTGTGAATAGATTTAAATCTAATTTATATTCCTTTCATATTTTATAGTAAATATAAATCAATATTACTTTAAAAAAATATTTCTTTTGTTATAATATAAACGAAGTCTTTATTATTGACTTCTACAAATTGTATGGAAGACAATAATTGAATCTTTAAAATTATTTATAGAAAAATTCGCATTTTCAAGTTTTTATATTAAAATAAATTAGTAGAAAATTTATTACACTAAATAAAGATAAGTAGATTTAAAGATGATTGTTTCTTGTTTACTGAATTTTTATTAAACATATTCATATTTAACTTAATTTTATTATTATTATTTTAAATTTTTGTAAAAAAAGTAACACAATTTACGACTTTCGGGTAAGATCAAGTAAAAATATGTTAACACATTTCTACAATCCATAGAGATACTCAGACTAAAGGTTTGGATATACACACTGTATTTAGAAATGATGGCATACAAGTCATTCATTATATTTAAAGTTGATAGGCCACTATATGAAAATTTATGGAACATCAATCCAAAAATTATATTTGCCCTAATTCGGTACAAATTTAACAATATATTACAGAGAAACTGAGTTACTAAGTTTATGCCCCAAGATTTTCAATTTATGATAAGAATATCATTTTAATGTCCTAAATTAATTAATCATATTTAATTCTATAATTAAAAATACGCTTGAAAATTATTTTTTAAAATATATAAACATATAATTTAAATAATTTTTAAAAATTAATTTCAGAATTTAATAACTCAACAGACATGATAAGAGTTGCTGGAATTAAGGTAACATTTATAAAGTTTTTAAATGTATTATTTATATCAAAACAAAATAATAAATGGGTTCTATTTTTCTTCGGTTATTTTTATAGAATGATCTTTATATGAAATATGATAAAAATTACAGAATTATTGGAGGAATAAATTTCGATTTCTTCAACACCATTTTAAAGAAAGTAGGATTGAGGTAATTACCATCAATTAGTTTACATGTTTTCTTATTTTTGTGTTTTTAAATAAAACGTTTCAATTTATATGAAGAATACATGAAAGATTCGCTACAATTATGGCTGTTGTTTTTTCTGCACATATTTCTGAACATCTTTTGTATTATAAATTCTGTTTAAATTTAGAAACACGTAACACAAATATTTAGTTGAAAAATTAACAATTATGTTTTGAGAAATTCTCTATTATTTCAGCTAAAATCGTACATTAAAAATATAAATATAGAAGATAAAGGGAGAGAATAATTCTGAAATCAAAAATTTAAAGCTTTTTTTTTTTATTAGAAGTAAATGCACCACTCCTATGAAAGTATAAAACTAAGGATATATGAACCAAATTTGAATTATTCAAAATGGGTACCGCTGCTATTTTCTATGAAATCATGCCAATGTATGTTTCTGGCATTGGAGTCAACACCAATCAGCAGCCTATTCTTATCAATTGGTTCATCTAAGAAAGAGATGGCATCATTCAGAGGCAAGCTGGATAGCAATAAACTGAAGATAAGAACAGAACAGTATCCAGAGTAATAGTTATTACTCATTACATAGCTGGGTCAGCTGCAAGATGGGAATATTTAGGTCGCATATAAGAATGAAAGCTAGAGGATTGGAAACAGCTGCAGAGATAAGAAACTTTTAGGCTTTGTAATGTAATGTAATTGTTTTAGGATACATGAGATATTTGACACAAGTTTATTAATTTCTATCGAAAAAATATTAAAGGAATATGAAATCGTTGTAAACATTACTTTATATCATTTCAATTTTTAATTTATAATTAAAAGTATGTATAATATTTTATGTATTTGTAGTTATGAATTGATAAGACCGATTCAGCCAATAGTTGGATTGAAAATTAAGAATGGGAGTTGGTCTGGATTTATTGGGCAAATCGCTGATAATGTAAGTTGTAACTATAACATTTACTATTACTATTAATTTCTCATTTTTATACACACATTTCGTAGGTATCTATGTAAATTTATGTCTTATAATGTATTTGTAAATTTCTCAATTCTAAAAGATATACTAAAAAAGTAATGAAAAAATATTATTTGAAAAAAAAAACTGTCCACTAATTTTAGAATCCTCAAAATTTTTGGTGCACTGTATAGTTACAAGAATATGCTCGATATGCTGGCATCCTTTATCGACAACATGCTAAAATACCAAATCGAATGTTCAACCATAGCAGAGTGCATATATTCTTAACAGCCATATTAATTCTAATTAAATCAAATAAAATTTTAGTTTAGTAAGAATTGTCGTAATAAGTGAATGTATTATATCTTTAATGTGCCTGAAAATTTAACTTAAAAATTGCATAAAATCAACACGGGGTGGAAAATGGCTGAGGCAATTAAAAACGTAACTTATTCTTCTGAAATCCAAGGGTGGAATCAGTGAGAGGTATACTGTTCAGATGTGCTGTCTAGGATATGTGAACTGACTAGCGATGAAGGAGGCGAAACAAGTGAATTGTTTCTGATGTTTTAAAGTGTACAAAGTAGTTAAATGCTAAGCAGTATTCAGTAGTGTTATTAATATAGCGATAAATAAATTTCAAATAGAAAAATAAGTACAAAAAAAATTAGTTGTTTGCATATTTAATTTACAGATGAGAAAACTCCATTTCTTATTTTTTAAAAAATGCGATATATGTTTTTAAACAGGCTGTCCAAAATTCCATTTTACTTTACATGAACCACAATGCATATTATTAATAACAATATAACAACACTGTCTGTG